TTTTCTTTTCTTTTCTTTTCTTTTCTTTTCTTTTCTTTTCTTTTCTTGTCTTTCCTTTTCTTTCTTTCTTTGAGGTTGAATTTCACTATGTAGCCCAGGCTGGCCTGGAAATCACTGGACCAGGCTAGCTCAAAGTATTGGAGAACCCCTTGCTTCTGTTTTCACAAGAACTGGGATTACAGGTGCGCAAAACACTTTGATTGGATTTTTAAAAAGTAAATAAAAGTTTTTCAGGTGACAAGCCAAATAGGCAATTCTATCAATGTGCAAAACACAATAGAAAATCAGTGGCTTGGTCAAGAACAGCGAGATTTTGTGGCTAGGTTGTAAGGTAGTTGGTCTCAGGACAACTCTGGAAAAGCAGGGTTGGGAGACTGCTGTGGAAAGCATCGGATGCCACAGTAAGTCTGGTATTTCCTTTGCTGGCAAGGGAACCTCGGAGCCTTTGGGACAGCTTGATTCCATCTGCGCTCTGAAGAATTGTCCCCTGGCAAGCAGTAGTAGGCTGGAGTGAGGGGATGGCAGGAAGCTGGAGGGCCACGTCAGGAGCGTGTTCCAGGAGCTCTGCCTGTGTAGAGCAGATCTTCCCAAGATGACGATGAGAATAAAAACGTGTCACTTTAGCGCCCCCCCCCCCCCCCCGGGCTGAAGTCAGTCACACAACACCTGATGGCTGGCGGGTACCTGTCCCAGGAGATTCTGACGGGACAGCTGACAGTGGGGTGACCTGGTTAGGCCAGCCTGGAGGGCCTGCCTCTCCTCCTTCAAGAGCTCCAGGAGCTACTGCAACTGGGTCTCATTTCACCTTGCTAGATCTTTCTACAGACTGGCTTTTGGGCCACTTTTCAAGACATGTCTGAGTCTTTAACACAGTTCTCAGCAGCTCTCTCCATCCCGTCTCCACCCCCTTCAATGGTCCCCACGGCTTTTATGAGTACTTTTTTCAGTTTTTCCTTTTCACTCTGCCAACTCATCTAAGAAGTCGGGGTTTTCTCCCTCCCTTTACTATTACTGCTTAAAAAATACTAAAATGAAAAAAAAAAAAAAGAAGAAGAAGAAATACTTTTATGCTTCTAGTCTCCTGCTTTCTAGGCTCACACCCACTGGCACCCTCCCTTGGAGACTCACTAACATTCCACCCTCTGGGTGTGTGCCTGTCAGCAGGGCCTTCAGAGCTTCAGCCTGTCTCTCCTGTACCATTGTTTCCTTCTCCACCCCTCCCTTTCTCCCTCCCTCCCTCGCTGATCCTCTCCCTTCCTTTCTCCCTCTTCCCTCCCTCCCCTTTACCCTCTGGTTGTTAGTCAACATAGCTCAGGACCAGGAGCTGCCCATTTCCCCCTGTGTAGTCTGGCCAGTCATCTGGCCCCTCGCTGCAGGTCAGCGACTGCCGTCCTCCACCCTGGCATAAACCTGGCTCAAGAGGGCAAACACTGTAGGCCTTCAGTGGCTAAGTGGGGCGATTCCTTTTCCCTTCACACCCAGGAGGCCGCGTGCTTCCCGCCTCCAGGCAGGAGAGTGTCTAGGTGGGGTAGTGTTGGGCCCAGTGCACTTGAGGAATCTGAATTTAATTTCACACCCCTCTCCTACCCTTGTCCTTCCACTGGCCCTGCTGGAGAATTACCCTTCACAAGGAAGAAGAACAAGCTCACATGTTAGCAGCGCTTGGAATTTTTTTTTTTTAAGTATATTTAGTAGGAGTTCATATCTCTAATGCTGAATTACTCAAAGGTGACCCAGGACTCTTAACGCTGGCTCCCTCCGGCTGCCTGTATGGAATGCTGACAGCAGCCCCTTCTCATACCACCAAATGAGAATCTGCATTTTGCCACAGCAGCTGGGTGGTTTATGGGCGTGTTTTGTTTGAGGCCCACTGATAAAATGGCCTGTTACCGACTTGGTGAGGCACATGGCCTTTCAATAGCCTTTCCCTGCTCAGTGGTTGTGGCTGTGCAAATTCGGAGACTATCTTAGCCCAAGCTAACCCTCTCTTCTGTCTCTATCTGTCTTTATCTCACACTGATGTGAGACAATGATGTTTAGACACTTACCTCACCTCCTCTTCTGATATTCTCTTGGGATCGTAAAGCATGGATTCTACAGATCAATTTTATTGATGAGGTAACGACCAATTTGCTCAAGCTCACCAGCTTACTAATTGATCCCACACCTGTAATTGCTGAACTTCTGATTTTTCAGCTTCCCTGTGTTTATGACCCAGACTAGAGCTTTCAGTCCTTTAAAATGTGAAGCTCAAAAAACTAATTACACACTCACTCTCTCACACACACACACACACAGAAAAAAAAAAAAAAAAAAAAAGGAAAAAATCAGAAACAGAATGCTGGGTTTGGTTTGAGTCATAAATTCCACCATGGAGGGCTGAAATAAGGATATTTTCCTGAACCTCTGCAAAGATTCCAGTAGTTGAGAGGCCCTTTTGAACAAGAGGTTACATGGCTTGAGTTTCAAAGAAAAGAATGTCGAAAGAAATCTTCCAGATGAGAATGGCCTCCAGATGTGAACATGGCTCTTCCAGATGTGTGGACAAATAGGGTGGGAGAAATGGGGGAATCAGATGCCTCACATGTCTGCAAAATGAAATGGAAAAATCTCTCTCAGCCACAAGGGAAAGTAGGACAAGAGGAAGAGAAATGGTGCCCAAGAGCTTAGCTCTTCACTGAGGACCTGGGCCACAGGCTGAAGCAAAGTTACAATAGTTGGGTGCAAACTGATATTTTAAATTCGAAGTACGCATGGAAGCCACACCTCACAGAAATGTTGGAGTGTGCCTGTAGGAACTCACTGTTCTTAGGTCTGAGCAGACCTGCTTTGGGCCTCTGGGAGGAGCCTCCCAGTCCTGTGCCATTAGGCGGCAGAGCCAGCCAGACAGGCTAGGGATCAGAGCCCAGAATGCAGGAGCAGGAGCCAGGAGTCTCACAGTTCTCTCTTTCTTCAGCTTCGGAATCAGCAGCCGTTCTCTCGTTCTCTCGGCGATCACCGAGTTGCCCCTTTACAGTGGCCCGAAGGCCCCATGATCCCAGGAGGAATAACTCACAAACCGCACTGAAGGAGGCCTTGTGGCCAGCTCAGCTAGGTTTGTCGCATTTCTGCAAAGGTGAGCGGTCGGTTGTGAGCTCCTAGCAGTATGCAATTAGCCGGCTTTATTTCTCCCCCCCCCCCCTCACAGGTTCCTCACCTTCTACCACATAATGGATCTAGGTTTTCATCTACCCACGTGACCGTGTTTCCATTTTCTTCCATTTAGAGAGCATCTCACGCTCCTTATTTCTCCAACACTCTGAAAAAAAAAATTCCTATTATATCCATTTACTTACATTTGTTTCTCTCTCTCTTTCTCTGAGAGAGAGAGAGAGAGAGAGAGAGAGAGAGAGAGAGAGAGAGAGAG